TCGGTGAACCGAGAACCGGGATCATGTATATTATGGGTGCCTTAATAATTAGAATAGGGCTTTGGGCCCATTATGCTATAACTATAATAAGGAATTCCCCCGAAATGATATAGTAATTCTTTAAGCCCCTATATTAGAGAGAGAGAGAAGGAGAAAGAGAGCGAGAGACCCTAAACCCTAAGACCTAAGCCCTAAACCCCAAAACCAAAGCCCCAAAGGGATCACTAGTCCAAGACATGGGTTTGCCGTCGGACTCGCCTCGTTTCGCACAACAGGCGGATTCGACTTGGTAAACAGCTTTTAGGGTTTAGGGTTTAGGGTTTTACGGTTTAGAGTTGAAGGGTTTAGGGTTTAGGGTTTAAGGTTTAGGGAATGATGCAGTTTATTTGGACTTAATGCCTTTGCCATTGGCTTGCCAACCCTAAACCCAAAACCCTCAAAAGACAAACCCTAAACCTTCCAGAACCCGTCTAGAAACCCTAACTAATATTGGGGCCTTCGTAACTAGAATAGGGTTTGGGGGTAAATTATAATTACCATCATCATTGTAAGGAACCCCCAAAACCCTAGTCTAATTATTTAGGCCCCTACATTACCCGTCAAAGAACACGTACAGAAACCCGCGGTCTCATTTCGATGCGCTTTAAACAAGAAGCTCCCTAAACCCTTAACCCAAAACCCTAAACTGGCCCTGAGGTGCTGAGTTCATAAGCCCCCAAAAGTGTACACTTTCAGTTCTATACGGGATCATAGTCTCCCAACAAGTTTAAAGTGTAGTCATTCAGCTACTAAGGGCCTTAAACTTTCTAAACCCTAAACCCTCTCCTTGGCATCGAATCGAACATGATCGTCTAGTGGGGGGCCCCCTAGCTGTGGTTGCCAGCAAATATCGCAGTCAAAGACTGCGTGTATCGAAATACATACTGGAGGTCTTCCAAATGATACCCTTGAAGTTACGCCAGGCTTGCGCAACCGGATTGCAGCGGTTCTGGAGATGGTGTGTAAGCGCTCTCTTCAAATCCTCGCCTGTGCCTGTCACTGTCGCTGCGTTTAGGGTTTAGGGTTTTAGGGTTTAGGGTTTAGGGTTTAGGGTCCAGTCTGCGTGGCCTTCAGGACGACTTCAAGCCGGGACATAGAGAGAGTCCGGCAGGTGGAAACCTTGGATCGCGCGGCTTCAACCTGGTACTTGCAGGATCATGGGACTCAGTAAGTAAGGTTATAACTACCTCAATTGGGGTTATAAGTAATTGCAAGCAGGGCTACCGCAGTTGTAACCTAAGTCCCATGATCCTTTAAGTAGCCGTTGCGCTTTCGAAAGATGGCATGGTCGCGGTCAGGCTCAGCAATGGCCAGCCTTGCGGTGGCCCACTCCCAGCCCCTAAACCCTAAACCCTAAACCCCTAAACCCTAAACCCTAAACCCTAAACCCCAAACCCTGAACCCTAAACACTAAGCACTGCTTTAAGACTGCGACGCCCTCACGTGCCAGAGATTACAGAAATCAGGTCGGCTTCGAAATAGAAGAATTTCGGGGGCTCAGGGCAATTCGGGTTCAGAGTTTAGGAGTTTCTGGAACCCTAAACCCTAAACCCTAAACCCTAAACCCTAAACCCTAGGTTTAGGGCGTGGGGTAAGAAGCTTTGGCAACTCAGGGTTCGGGCTTGAGGGTTAAGGACGAAATCAAGCGTGAATCCGACGAAGCCCTGAACCCTAAACGCTAACTTGTCGCTAAATGCCGATGCACCGGGCAAGCCTGGCCGGCATATGCCCGAAATCCACTAAAACTGCAGATGCAAATGTCCCAACAACTTCGTGGTATCGTAAACTCTTGTTCGTTGCGGAGCATTGAAGAAAGTCCGCGTCTGGAATCGGTCTGATGAAAAGGGTCTTTAGTTTTGGGCTGAGGGGTTAAAGGGTTCAAGAGTTCAGGACAGGTGGAAGGTTCGTTCACGATCCTGGGCTTTCAGTCTGAAGGCTTGCCATCTAGGGCTTGGGCTTAGGCTTAGGCTTAGGCAACACCTGAAACCCCAGCCCGTGCAACGGTAGTTTTCTGAATTCAGGCTCCTTTTAGGGTCCTTTTTTTGTAAGGGTGCCGTAACATACATATATATATATATACATATACATACATATGTATATTACATACATATATATATATATATATGTGTGTGTATATATGTATGTATATATATACATATATATATATATATGTTTATTTATATTTATATGTTGAAGACCTAACTAAAAGGGGACTCTAATTTAGAGAACTAGCCACACCGACAATCGGCTCATCGGCCTTCGCCGTGAGCACTCTCCATCGGCTCATCTTGAGCTTCATCGTCGGTGTCCTCACACAACTTCCGCGTCTCGAATTTGCGGCTGAAGTTGGCGGCTGAGGAGTTTAGGCTTATGAAGTTTTGGGCTTAATTTTGACAAACCCTACACCCTAAACCGTATTTGAGTTCGCGCAAGATGACATGTCCACAGGTTTCCTCTCATCATGCGCCTCTTCTGTCTGTGTCGACTGAAACCAAAAGGACCAATTATACAACAAAGCACATATGGGGGTCTCCGACAATAGGGGACTCCAATATAGTACACTAAACAGTAGGATCCTTAATAGAAGGACCCCAAAATGAGGTTAAACCCTAAACCCTAAAACCCTAAAACCTTTAAGCCCTAAACCCTGAAACCCTAAATCCCTAAACCCTAAAACCCTAAATGCCCAACCCCTAAAAAATTGTAGTTCCTTTTTTGGTTTAACCAGTCTTATATTAAGGATCCTAAAAGGTAACCCCCCAAAAAGGAACTACAATGGAGACTATAGGTCCCATCTTTCGCGCGGACTGGCAAACGGTTCAGCCCCCAGCTTTTCATAGTGGTAGTAGTAGTAGTAGTAGTAGTAGTAGTAGTAGCAGCAGCAGCAGTAGTAGTAGTAGTAGTAGTAATAGTAGTAGTCGTAGTAGTCGTAGCAGTCGTAGTAGTCGTAGCAGTAGTAGTCGTAGTAGTCGTAGTAGTCGTAGTAGTCGTAGTAGTAGTAGTAGTAGTAGTAGTAGTAGTAGTGGTAGTAGTAGTAGTGGTAGTAGTAGTAGTGGTAGTAGTAGTTGACACTGTAAGTTTAGTTATAGCTATGGTTTTTGTTGTAGCAGTTCCTTTCGTGGCTGCGGTCGGTGGCGAGGCGCGCGAGGCTGGTGATGTTGCTACTGTGTTGGTGCTGTTGCTTCTGTTTGTGAGTGTTGCTGCTGCTGCTGCTGCTGCTGCTGCTGCTGCTGCTGCTGCTGCTGGTGGTGGTGGTGGTGGTGGTGGTGTTGGTGGGGGTGGTGGTGGTGGCGGCGGTGGCGGTGGCGGTGGTGTTGTTGCTGCTGTTGTCGTTGTTACTGGCTCTGTTGCTGTTATTGATGTTGTTGCTGTTGTTGCAGTGTTGCTATTGCTGCTGCTGTTCTTCTTCTTCTGATTATTATTTATTATTATTATTATCATTGATGGCGTGGTGGTTGTACCAGTACTGGTCCTGGGTACTGGTACTGTCACCAGTACTGAAACCGGCACTGGTACGGGTAGATAGCAGTAACAACGGTAGCAGTAGCACCAATGGTTTTACTTGTGAACTACTACAGCTCATGGTAGCATTGGCAGCGCTCTACATTTTTTACACCCCGAAACCCCACACCAGAAAGCCTACCTTTTTTACATCTGACCATCGATCACAGTTCAAGCTCTGCAGGACCGGACTGCACTCAACGGCATCGCGTGCAGGAGAGCATTCGGCGAAGCTCGTGGTGCTAAACCCGGCAAGCAAGGCTCAAAGCTGAAATCGGCTTGCAAGCTTTACATACGCCGGTCTGCTGGCTCTGAGGGGGGGGGGTCACAAATCGAGGAGTCGGAGCTTCATTCTGGAAATGAAGTGTTGGAAGAGATGTTTAGGGTTTAGGCGATGTCTCAGAGTGCCACATGTGACGAGGTTAACAATGGCTAGCCTGCCGAGGTGACATCAAGTTGTAAGGTATGCATGTTCAATCCGGCTGGCAGGGCTCAGGAGTGTTTAGGTTGTAGGATTGGACCGTGCCGCAGGTAAAGCGATGCATGCATGCCGTTTGCAAATCTAGCTGTGTAGCATGGGTCACGGCTTCTTAGCCTTGACGTACCCGATGCCGGCCACGGCACAAAATACTCTGAGGTTGATAAGATCTTTGACCACCACAATTTTGGAGCCTGTTTGCGTCTGGCTGAGATGCACCTCCATGTCATATCCCCAGACAGGGGCCGAAATGACGGTCATTTGCACCTTGCCTTTACCACGGACCGAAATGTCCAGTCGACACCAGAGTCCGTCCCGTCGCTTTTCGAACCACCGTCGCAACTCCCTTGTGCTCCAGCCCTTGCGCTTGTGAAAGTCCTGCACGTCCTTGCCCAATCTCCAACCCTGTTCTTCAGCCTTCTCTTCGGCCTGCGAGAGTAAAGTCTCCATCAGTGACCTCTTCTCAGCACCCGACATGGCCCCGGGGAAGTTGGGATGAAAGATACTGTAAACGGAGTCCATGGACCACCGTGCCACTGAGGTCTCCTTAGCTGGAGACCAGCGCCGCCAGCGGTACAAACCCACTAGCATCGTTGGAGCTACCAAACCCAGCCCGGAGCTTGTTAGGAAAGCTAAGCTGAGCGAAATCAGCACTGACATGCTGCGGCGGCATGACATTGCAAAATCGAGCGGTGGAACGAGCCGAACTACATGCTATAGACAGGCGCTGTCACGGAGCCACTGCGAAGTCAAGGAACCGCCAAGCTTTTCCGAGGCAAGTATGATCGGACTCACGGATGGCTTTGGGGTTTGGGGTTTCTTGGTAAGCTTCACATGTGCATCTCAAAACAAAAACAACGAAGACAGATCACCCAAGTCACACATCAAGCACGCAACAACTTCTGAGTGTGTGATCCTGTACAAACGGAAAAACCAGACGGCAAAAACCTCAAGCCACAAGCTTTCGACTAATCTCAAAGTCGTCCCCCAGCGCCATAGACCCTAAACCCCAAACCCCTAAACCCCTAAAGCCCCCAGTGCCGTAGAGCCCTCTACGCAGTCACCCCGGCCTGGCTGCCCGGTTGCGGGAGGTAGCCTGGCAACGCATCCGAACCAGAGGTCGAACCCTTAAGCCGAGCAGGTCTACACCCCTAGGGTTTAGGGTTTAGGGTTTAGGGTTTAGGGTTTGGGGTTTAGGGTTTAGGGTTTAGGGTTTAGGGTTTAGGGTTTAGGGTTTAGGGTTTAGGGTTAGCCGCAACCAAACTCCGAGACCTCAACCCTAAACCGCAAACCCCCAAAGTCTGAGACCTAGGGTGTAGGGGTTTAGGGCTTAGGGTCCAACACTCCAGACTCTCAACCCCTCAAACCCTCAAGCATGAGGGCTAGACCCTCAACCCCCAAGCCTGTCTCCACAAGCCTCGTAGACCCAGAATAACCAGAATAAACACGTGTCTGTTCATCAACCGGATACAGCTCCGAAGAAAAACCTGTAGTATGTTCTGGTACATAAGAGTATATTGCAGTAAAATATAGCATAATATACTCCAAACCCTGTGCTAATAATCTAGGCCCCCATTTTTCTCTTCCTACAATACCTATAGTCTCCATTGTAGTTCCTTTTCGGGGTTACCTTATAGGACTCCAAATATAAAACTGGTCGAACCAACAAAAGGACCTAAAATGGAGACCATAGTACCTAAACCCTAAACCCCTTACCCTAAACCCTAAACCCTAAACCCCTTACCCTAAACCCTAAACCCTAAACCTCTAACCCTAAACCCTAAACCCTAAACCCCTAACCCTAAACCCTAAAATCCTAACCCCAAAACCCTAAACCCTAAACCCTAAACCCCAAACCCTAAACCCTAAACCCTAAACCCTACACCCAAAACCCTAAATCCCGAAGGTACGGAGCGATCCGATCTTCATCCCGACCGACCTGCCTTCGACCTCTGCTTGGAGTCTCGGAAAAGTTTCTTCCGTGACATCTCAGCTGCGGCTTTGGGTTTAGGGTTTAGGTTTTAGGTTTTAGGGTTTAGGGTTTAGGGTTTAGGTGTCAGGTTTGCCCATCATTTGGGGAATGCGGGATAACACCTTCAAGGAAGTTGTGCGGTTCTAACTGCAAGAATGTAAAAACCCAGGTGTCCCATGCGCTTCAACTTTACATGTCAGGAGCCTGGTCGTTACAAACGCTGCAACTTCTCCGCCTACAAGTAGACTCAAGCGCGCACTTCGGGAAGCGAAAGGTTCGGCTTCTCTCTTTCTACCCACGACACAGGGCTAGATTCGGCTAATGTAGCGGCCTTAATAATCAGAATAGGGATTTGGGGTATATTATGCTATACTTATGATAGGGAACCCCCAAATTCGTATAGGTAATTCTTAAGGCCCCTATATTAGATGTTTCTGAAAACTGGTCATGCCGGAGCTTCAGGCGGGTTTGTGAGGATGGGTCAAAGCCTGGTGCATAATGTAGGGGCCTGAATAGTTAGAATAGGGTTTTGGGGTCCTTTATGATATAATTCTAATGAGGGGCCTCCAAGATAATATAGGTAATTCTTTTAGGTTTCTAAAAAGGGTCTTGCCATAGTGTTCCTTATCGGCTGTACATCGCGCAACTCACCCGCCTATTGACTTCTGCAACAAGCAACAGCTTGCAGCCCTTGTCTGAAAAGTCGTGCATACAGGCATGCATGCAGATATGCATGTGTCTGCGCATGCATGCATGGACGTATGTGCGCATAAACAATCATCATAGTCATACATGTATGTACGTCGATACAGATATGCATATGTATACATGCCTAGACTTCAATACACACATATCGACATGTAAATACACACGTACATGCATATCTACATACATAAATACATACATGCATACAAAAACATGTGCACGTCCCTACAGGCTTCTGCTTGAGCATAGAGGAACCCTTTTGAGCTTTACATCCTTCGTGTGCACATGTGCGTGCGTACGTACATACGACATTGTGTGCAGACATGGGTGCCCGCATGTGTACATGCACACACAGTTAAGTATGCATGCGCCCGTGCCTAAGCAGAAGGACCTGCGCGTGATGCTGCAGGTGCATACAGAACGATCTGTGCAGGCAGATGCAGTGAATGCTCATTCTCAAAAAGTGCTCGTAAGCCAGGGGCGGGCTGAGGCATCAATAATTAGAATAAGAGTTTGGGCTAGATTATACTATAATTATAATAAGGAACCCCCCAAAATAGTATATGCAATTATTTCGCGCCCATATTACCCCTCGACAGCCCCGAACTCTTCGTCCCCAATCCTACGCCGTGGCAGTCCGAACCTCAAAGCCACAAACTGAACCAACAATTCCCGATCAGGTTTTAGAGTTTAGGGTTTAGGGTTTAGGGTTTAGTTGCATAAGAGGAGTAACGGGAGGTGCTTAACGGTAAGTATTGCTGGCCCGGCAGCAATCACCATCGGCCCATTGCGACCACTTTTCTGCGACCTTGCCGCAGTGTGGGATAGTAGGGTCCAAGCACCATAGAGCGGTTCTGTGAGCACCACTTGCCGATGCTTGAACCCCGGCACAGGGCAATGATCCTGAAGAAACTCAGAGCTCACACTCCGTACCTCCGTAAACCCTAAACCCCAAACCCTAAACCCTAAACCCTAAACCCTAAACCCTAAACCCTAAACCTTAACATACCGTCGAAAGCCCAAACCGAACCAAGCCCAGAAGACTGAGCCAGACCCGAACCCCTCGACCGATTCACGGCAACAAGGCTCACAGCCTTTCTTCTGCAAGTCATGTAGGGGTTTAGGGTTTAGGGTTTAGGGTTTAGGGTTTAGGGTTTAGGGTTTAGGGTTTAGGGTTTAGGCTAGGATTTTGGGGGCTCCTGATTATAATTATAGTATAATAGACCCCAAATCCTCCTCCACTTATTAAGGCCTCTATAGTATTCCCGTAATACAAACCAGAGACACTCACCACCCAACAAAACACTCACCAATGCCGAAAGGACCATATAGATTCACTACAATCTCTAGCATATGCGTCGTATAGTTCACTGGCCAACATCGGCCTTCAGACACTGCTGGGCATCTTGCCCGACATTCTCAGCTTTGTCCCTAAACTCTAAACCCTAAGCCGTAAACCCCTAAATCCTAAACCCTAAACCCTAAACCCTGAAACCCTAAAACCTAAACCCTAAATCCTGAACCCTAAACCCTAGCATTGGGGGCACTCCAGTTCGAAACTGCACACTTTAGGAAGATACATGTAGGAAGCGGATTCAGACACCCGAGGTTTTTTATTAGGGTTTAGGGTTTAGGATTCAGGAAACTCCCATGTTTCTGCGCTGAAAGTATTGGTAGATAGGTGAAGATGCTGCTGCAGATGTAGTTGCATACACGTGGTGGGTATAGAGTCGTGCATGTACAGATACAGATAGAGATACAGATGCAAGCCCTAATAAACAATAAACTCTCAACCCTGAACTTTAAACCCCACACCCAAGCCCCAAACCTTGCACAAGCACGGGCCGAGCCGCTAATCGATCCACTGACTCCACGCCCAGCCGCAAACACGCCTTGAGGCCTCATGCAGGGTTTAGGGCCTAGGGTTTCGGGGCCTGGGGTTCTAGAGTTTGTGTTTATACGGTTTAGGGCTTCGGGCTTTGTGTTTAGGCACTATATTGCCGGCTTGGCGCCTGTTTGGAGTTCTTGCAGTAGGGATCCTGCAATACTTGGAGGATCATGGGACTTAGTAAGTAAGGTTATAAGTCTCCTAATTGGGGTTATAAGTATAGCTACCTTAGTGATAACCCTACTTACTAAGTCCCATGATCCTTTAAGTAGGGGATCCTTGTTACACACTGTGTCTCATGGCTGACAGGTCTTCAGGACTTTGCCCGATACAGTTGGCAGCGCCCCTGCGAACCCTAAAGCATAAACCCTACACCCTAAACCGTGGCTCAAAACGAGACTAGACTCGGAGTGCCAGGTGCTGGCTACACTAACGCAGCTGTAGGCTTTTTTCCTGGTTTAGGGTTTAGGGCTAATGTAGGATCCCCAAACCCTATTCTATTTATTGTGGCCCCTACATTAAGCCCTAAACCCTTCTAGTAGCCCTTATAGAACCCTTTAAGGAACCTTTTAAAGGAACCCCAAAACCCTATTCTAATTATTAAGGCCCCTATAATTAGGGCTCAGGGGTTTCAGCAAAGTTTCTTAGGGAAAACCTCTGGGCCCTAAACCCTAAACCTTAAACCGTAGACTCTTAGAGAAAACCTCTGGACCCTAAACCCACAAGTTGGGAGATAGCAGGGGCAAGAGCCATCAAGAAAGGGGTTTCGGGTTTAGGTATTATACTTCCATTCAAGAAAAGCCAAACCCCTATATCTTAGTATACTCCTAACTTCTAACCCGAAGGTCCCCAAAACTCGTAATCCTACAGCTAAACCTTCCTAAACCGAAACTTCCCCTTTGCCTTCAACCTGGACCCTCACGCCCCTAAAACCCTAAACCCCCTAAACCCCTAGGCCTAGCGGCCTAATCCCCGAAACCGCTAAACCCGAAACTCTAAACCCTAGACCCGAAACCCTATACCCCTAAGCCCTAAACCCTACAGAACATCACGCCCTGGTGGCGTGCATTTGCGGGGCAAGGTTATGACATGTTTTAGTTAGAGTTTGTTGTTCATGCATATGTACAGGACTCTCTAAACTACCGGGAAATACACCCCACCAGGGCGTTAACTCTCTCAAGCCCTAAACCCTAAACCCTAGACCCCTTAGATCCCTCCACCTCACACCCGAAACCCACCCTAAACTCCTGAACCCTAAATCCTAAACCTTAAACCCACAATTCAAGGTGAACAGGGCCTGCTGCGACATCCCGCCGGTCGCGCCTTGGAGCTGCGAGAGAGAGCCTCAAGCTGTCAGGCAGCAGCTGTAGGCCCAGAGAACCCAATACCCCTTAATTCAGGAATATACCTGAAATCATAATAATAGCAATAATGATAATAACGATACTAGGGGCCTTATAATTTTAAGGTATGTTCCTTAATGAAAGTGTATTGGGTTCTCTGGGGGGTCTAGGGGTTTAGGGTGTAGGGTTTATGGGGTTTAGGGTTTAGGGGGTTTAGAGGTTTAGAGGTTTAGGGTTTAGGGACTTAAGGGTTGAGGGGAGTTTAGGGTTTAGGGGCTTTGGGTTTAGAGTTTAGGGTTTAGGGTTTAGGGTTTAGGGTTTAGGGTTTAGGGTTTAGGGTTTAGGGGCTTTGGGTTTAGAGTATGCTTACTTTGTTGCTTCTAGTTACGAGTTGTGTTGACTTTATATATTGAACGACCGTTCCGATGGAGGCGGCCCAAACAGCCCTTTTGAAAACAAGGCAGAATAAAGGTAAATAAAAGGTGAAAATTGCGATGAAGCTAAAGCAAGGTGAAACCAAAAAGGTAACAAAAAGGTAACAAGGTGTGGTAAAAGGTGAAGGCCAGGCGCAGGCCGCGTGACTCGGATTTTCCTGCACTCCCACGCCCGCCCATCTGGCCAGGCCCGGAAACCCTGTAACCCTTACACATAAAACCTCACAGAACACGCAGAGCAATCCCTGTAACACCCAGAACCCTAAAAACTTCCCAACCAGCAGGCGACCCTGCCAGCGTGGCCCCAAGCCCTATAGTGCATCCCCGAAAGTTGGAACATGGATTTAGGATGATTCGTGCTAGGATCCCCTATACATTACCTTTAGACCATAAGGACCACAGTGTTCCAACTTTCCAGCTTCTACTATATACGCGACGAAGAGGGCTGGGGGTTTAGGGTCGAGGTTAGGTATAGATTCAGGAATACCGGGCCTTCTCAACGGAGAACCCTAATATAGGGGCCTAAATAATTAGAATCGTGTTTGGGGATCCTTTATAGTATAGTTATAGTGAGGACCCCCAACATAATACAGATAACGATCGAGGCCCTTACAGTGCACATTGCCGCCATGACACCATCTTGGCCCAAGTGCAGGCAGTGGGCAACGGCAGAAGAAGCGGACACGGCACTGCGGGCAGTGCGCACCTCAAAGATTTAGCATGCGGTTTCTTAATATCAGGGGTGCTAAACCCTAATCCCTAAACCCCTATACCGCAAATCACTGAACACCTAAACCCCTCAACCCCGATACGCCTAAACCCCTAAACCCCAAACCCCTAAAGTAGGGCTCCTGAGCATAAGGATCCAACTAGTTGGGCTCCAGTTGCGGGTAGGGTCCGATTTCGAACGGTACTGCGCAAATCCTGCAATGTAGGATTTTTGATACTTAGTGGCCTTAATAATTAGAATTGGGTTTTGGCCCTTACTCACAATTAGAATAGAGCGCTGGGGTTACATTTAGGGTTTAGGGTTTAGGGTATACCGCAAGAATATAGAGGGGCCACGGCGTGAAAGTTGCGAATTGTGTTTGTCCCGGCGAGGAGGTCCCCGCTGATCTCGCTGCCAGGCGGGGGCGTTGAGGGTGGCGATTTCGGCCAGCAGCCCGTCGATGGCGGACTGGAGGGACAGCTGCAGGGCCGTCAGCTCCGCCCCCGTGGCGTAGGGCCCCGCGTTCTGCAGCGCTAGAATGTCCGCGGAGGGCCTGGCCCGCGTTATAAGCGCCCTGGGTGACGTAGCCGAGCAAGGCCGTGGCGAGGTCCCCGCTAAAGAACAGCATTGGTAATTGTTCAAGCTCCGATAGTAGCTGTGAAACAAACCTCTACTGAGCTTCTCACCCTCTTCATCATCGCCGTCATCATCCGGATTCTTGTCATCACCAAGCAGGGATAGTTGCAATGGCAAAAGCCATTACTACTGTTGCTAGTCTGAATCCTGCATTACATTAAGGATCCTAAACTCTGGGAACTATGGCATATTCCTTATGATGGGTAAAACCCTAAACCCTAAACCCTAAACCCTAAACCCTTATTATGGGTAATGCAGGATTTATATCATCCACCGTATCACTCTTATCATCTTTGGACGCCTTCAGCGGCTGAGAGGCAAAGCACGTCGAAAAGCCAGGATTTAGGGTTTAGGGTTTAGGGTTTAGGGTTTAGGGTTCAGGGTTTAGGGTTTAGGGTTTAGGCTTCATGACCATCTTCAGTGGATGCCTCAGCCGCGAGAACACAGGTACTGAGGCTGCCTATATTGATGATACTGATAACAATGACGATGGTGACCGGAGGAGATAGAAATCAAGTGCCAATCATTAAGGAAACAACCAAACACGTGGTGACTGACTGTGGCGCTCAAGGGAAATTCAAACCAGAACGAGATTAACAATGCTAGCTCCTACTGTGTTTTCCTAATGAATCCAGAAGGATGACTCTGTTTTGAGAAGAACTCGTTGTCGGCATACTCCAACATGGGACGCCTTTGTTACATGCTAGGGTTTAGGGTGTAGGGGAAGTACAGAGCTGTTCCCCGAAACAAATGCAGCTGCAATGACACTGTCAACACTACCACGAGGAGCAAGTGGCAGATGTAATGCTGGCAACAGTACCAATTAGGACTCACAGAGTAGCCATAAACCCTGAAATCCTAAAAACCCTACACCCTAAACCCTAAACCCTAAAACCCTAAAACCTAAAACCTAAAACCTAAAACCCTGAACCCTAAAACCCTAAACCATAAACCGTAATTTATTGAATTTCAACACCAACAGTCATCGCATGTGAGCGAGGCACCTTCTACTCGCTGCAGGCAGCTCAGATGAAAAAAATGGCCTGGGCGACACTCGCCGCTTTTGACTTCAAATTGTCGCGGTGGCTTCGGGTTTGGGGTTCAGGGTTTAGGGTGGCATCATCCTGATTCTTCCTGTTGCTGCTGCAACAGAGGTCTTACTTGCCCTGTGGACACTGTGGCGTGTTTCATGCGCCAGGAGCTTGGTTCAGATGATACTGAAAGTGCTTGCTACTGGAATGTTTGGCGCTGAGTCTGCTAAGTATGCCTTGATAATGTTGACCGCTGCAAGCACTGCTCCTGCTACTGCTACATTGCTACTACTGCTACTCCGACTGCTCCTAACGCTGCTGACGGAGGAGGCTTCACACCAGTTTGGCAGAGCCCTGTTTAACGCTAAGTTACTAATGTCCACTGCCGAGAAGGGTCAGGGGCTCATGGCGTGTTGTTGTCATTATCAAAAGGGATGCGCCTGAGTCCGTGTCTTAGGGTTTAGGGTTTAGGTTTTAGGCTTTAGGGGTTTAGGGTTTAGGGGTTAGGGCTTAGGGTTTAGAGTTTAGGGTTTAGGGTGGTGTTGTGCAAGATTTCTTCCATCTAGCATCTACCCTGCTACAACTGCTTCGCAACGGCTACAGCTGCAGCTAGGCTACGGCTACGCTTGCTGCTGCTGCTGCTGCTGCTGCTGCTGCTGCTACTGCTACTGCTACTGCTACTCTTATTCCTACTCCTGCTCCGGTGACGAAGACGACTACTACTTCCACTACTTCTACTACTACTATTGCTACTACTACTACTACTACTACTACTACTACTACTAGTACTAGTAAGACCCTTAACTTCTAGCTCGTCGCATGCTTGGTCGCATAAGGCTCTGGCTGTCATTGCCCTGCGTTCTGAACCATGCAATACCCCGCTTAAGCCCCAACACTGTCTGCACAGAACCTACTTCTAGAGTGGCCCTTTACAGGCACAACACCTGTTGTTGATGCTGAAACGAACATTGAACTGCCATCCCAAAAACACCAACCTCAGCACCTCCGAGCACCAATGGTTCGGGTAGCGATTTGTTGAAGCTTGTTGCATGCATAGGTGTTCGAGTCAAAGGCCACTCACTGGAATTACGGTGATCGGTCGAGCTGAAGATTATAAGTTGCAGGCTTTGCGCCTAAGGCTCAGAAGTTGCAAAAATGCTTGGCAAGGTCTGGTGCGCTTCACATAGTGTGGATAAATTGTGCAAGTGACGAGGTGGTATGAGATTATGACGATGATGCGGGAGACGATGGCGAGGTTGATGATGGTGATGATGACGCTGATGTTGATGACGATGACGGTGACACTGACGATGATGATGACGACAAGCATGGCAGCGATTGTGGGGACGATCATGCTGACGATGGCGGTGGTCATGGTGGTGATGGCGATGGCAAGTACTGCCGTGTTCTTTACGACGGTAATGGCAACGATTCACGATCATGACGACCCGTGTCGTGCCTTATGGCTACAGCGCGCACGGCAGTATTCACGTATTCATCACGCGTGCTGGCCTTGCCATGCTTCGGAAGGGTAACAACAAGGACAGCACCATCGCTCATGTCTCGCAGGGGATGTTGCCAAGCATCACTGCGAGTACAATTATTGACTGAAAAGGTACCAATATTGGCATTCATGTGCATGTGAGCACTATTGACGGTCATCTTTTTGGCATTAGTATTGTCAACCACAGGTGCCAATGATGTGAGTATTTTCGTCACCCAATAGCCCTGTCCCCTTCGCAAACCCTCACTCCTGAAAACTCCCGAAATGCCGAAACCCTAAACCCTAAACCCTAAACCCCTAAACCATGGAACCTGAACGTCCCTTCTAGGAATCCCCTCCTAAATGAACTCGTAAAGGCACCCTTATAGGAATCCCTTTACTAATTCATGGCTGGCATAGCATTAAACATTCAAACTTCTATTCCGAGTTGAACACAGAATTGTAACAGAGTACCCAACTGTGCCAAAGTTCAAAAAGGAACCCTAATCCTAAAACCCTAAACCCCCTTCTACTTAAAGGATCATGGGACTTAGTAAGTAGGGTTATAACTAAGGTAACTATACTTACAACCCCAATTAGGGGACTTATAACCTTACTTACTAAGTCCCATGATCCACCAAGTAGGGGACCATGGAAGGCTGTCTGAACCGAGTCGCCGCAACTTCGCCTGCCATCCCGATCTAAGCAAACGCCCACGGGATGGCGGCCTAGCGGCTCGAGACCTCGCGGAGCTTGGCTTCCTTTTTAGGGGTTGCTAGTTAGGGTTCTAAGGCTTATATAGGACTTATAGGGTTTAGGGTTTAAGGTTTAGGGTTTCGAGGTTTAGGGCTTAGAGGCTTAATGCTTGCTTGTCTCTATCTTCGTCTTCGAGATACATCTGTGATCTGTGTGTTATGTGCACGTGTCTATGCTTATGCATAAGGTCCCCGGGCTTAAGGGCATAAGGGCAAAGGGCTTTCCAGTGTAAAGCGTTTGGGTATATTTAGGTTTTAGGGTTGAGGATTTAGGGTTTAGGGTTTAGGGTATACAGGTACCCTAAACCCTAAAGCCCTAAAACCCCTAAAACCTAACCCCCTAAACCCCTAAACCACTAAACCCTAAACCCTAAACCCTAAACCCCTGAACCCTAAACCCCTAAACCCCTAAACCGTAAACCCCTAAACCCTTAGGGTTTACGGGTTTAGGGGTTTAAGGTTTAGGGGTTCAGGGGTTTAGGGGTTTGGGGGTTTGGGGGTTTAGGGGTTTAGGGTTTAAGGCTTCGGAAAGCCCATCGAGTAAACCCCGAAACTTCTAAGCCCTTCCCGCATACCATGAAACCCGGGCCCCCCCCGACCCTTTCCCCAATAAAACAACTCGAAAAGTGTGTTCAAAAATAGGGTTTCGGGTTTAGGGTTCAGGGGCGTGCGCTTCTCCCTGCCGTCACGTTTGGGGGGGCGGGGATCTTGGTCTTGCTCCTGCTTCCCGGCTCTTGCTCGTGCTCTTGCCCTTTTGGGGTTTAGGGTTTAGGGCTTAGGGTTTAGGGTTTAGGGTGCAGGATTTAGGGTTTAGGTTTAGGGTTTTAGGGTTCCTCCTGCTCTAGCTCTTGCTTCTGCCCTTGCTCTTGCTAGTGCTATTACTGTTGTGATCCCCCCACTGAATCAGTCTTTATTACTAGGCTGGTGCTTAAGAAAAGGGAGCCTAAACCCTAAACCCTAAACCCTAAGAAAAGGGACCCTAAACCCTAAACCCTAAACCCTAAGAAAAGGGACCCTAAACCCTAAACCCTAAACCCTAAGAAAAGGGACCCCAAACCCTAAACCCTAAGAAAAGGGGGAAGGGATGAATTCCAAGGAAGCCTGAACAACCCTAAACCCTAAACCCTAAACCCTAAACCCTAAACCCTAAACCCTAAACCATCTCCAAGGGCCCAGTCTGAGATAGTTGGGCCTTCAGCCTTCATACCTAGAATAGGGTTTAGGGTTTAGGGTTTAGGGTTTAGGGTTTAGGGTTTAGGGTTTAGGGTTTAGGGTTTAGGGTTTAGGGTTTAGGGTTTAGGGTTCCTTTACAGGGTCCTCATTTTAGGGTTTAGGGTTTAGGGTTTAGGGTTACTAATACAATAAAAGTTGCTATGGTTAGGGTGGGGGGCCTGAGTTCATCAGAACAGAGTTTTGCTGTACAGGGTTGAAACCAAATAAGCCCAAAGAGCCCTAAACCGTAAAGACTAAGCCCAAAGAACCCGAAACACTAAACACAATGCCACTAAGGCCAAAGAGCCCTAAGCCCTAAAGACTAAGCCCAAAGAACCCCAAGAACCCTAAGCCCAAAACACTTAGAAGCCCCTTTCGATCCACGGACGATCACGATGGCTTGATCTTGTCTCGATGATCTCCATGGCCTTCTCTTCAGATTCCGGCCCTTCCTCAGATATCGCGACGCCGCATACCAAGTATTTCCCACGACGATAGCCGACATCTTGAGCGAGGAGGTTGAGATTGTCGTTCATGATCAACCGCCATTCTTGAGCGACCATTGTGCTGCCGCGCCTGGGGCGAGCTTTCGCTTTTGGTCTGCGTCCGGACGATGCGTTGCTAGCCCCTTCGTCAACATCCATCTGTGTCGGTCGAGAAGGGCCAGAAGGCGTTTGATCTGCGTCACCTTGAGGCGGCGTGACCAAGTTCGGGTACTCGAGCATCGCATTGAGCATGATCTCTAATCCTTTCGTCACTGCAGTGACTCGTTCATGATCACCAGGACATTCTGTTACGCAATGCCTCGAAGGGGTGAAACCCTTTGGGTTTAGGGTTTAGGACTTAAAACTTAGGGTTTAGCGTTGAACTTAGGGTTTAGGGTTTAGGACATAGAACTTAGGGTTTAGGGTTTAGGACTTGGAACTTAGGGTTAGCGTTCAGGGTTTAGGGTTTCGGGCTTTTATGGGAATCCTCAAGCCCGAAAGCCCGAAACCCCTCAAGCCAGCACGAACTAATCCACCTCAAAGCTTGAACACCGAAGCCAACAAGGTTTAGGGTTTTTTCGTTGAAAGTGCTTTGGGACTTTCTCTCGGCAGAGGTCAGCCACAGCCCTAAGGTTTAGGGTTTGGGGTTATTTGGGCTGAGGATGCCGAAGCTCAGTTTCGGGGCGTGAGGAATTTGGGTAGTTCTCCAGATTAGGTCCGTTATAACGTCCGCAAAATAGTACAGCACCCTGACAAAAAGGAACCTAAAAGGGACCCTAGTTTTACCCATCTGGAGATCTGGTTCCGGGTTTGGGGGTTCATCTACCGAAGCTCTCGAACCTGACTTCACCGGGAGCCGAGATGCAGATGGAACACGTTTCCAGATCACTCCTCAGAATTTTCAGAAGCGTGAATGGGGCAACTGGGAGGGGCTATCTAGTTGTAAGTGCATCGGACAGCAACTGAATGGTTGGCTGCTGGTACTGTTATTTCTATGTTTACTGATATTCGGATTACTATTCTAACAGCAACTCTATTCGACAGTACTCATATCTACGTGGCATGGCAAATATTACTGTGTGCAATTGCCAGGAGGACTAGTCACTAGTAGTAGCAGTCAGTAGTCATCGTCGTAGTTGTAGCAGGAGCAGTAGTAGCAATAGTTGTAGCAGTAGTAGTAGTAGTAGTAGTAGTAGTAGTAGCAGCAGCAGCAGCTCATCAGCAGGAGTAGCAGTAGTGGTAGTAGTAG